TTTAATCTAAACGCGAATGGCTAAGAAAATCACAACCTCAGATGTGTAAAATAATAATACAATATAATATAATATATTATAATATAATATAACATTATATAATATAATATAATATAATAATATAATATAATATAATGTATATAATAATAAATTATAATATAATATAATTTATAAAGACTTCATTAATTTTATTTCGTCTACAGATTGTGAAATTTTGTATAAATATTTACAGGAAACCGCAAGACAAACTACTTTTCAAGCAGAACCCACAAATGCACCCAAAAAAGAATATTAAAAATATATCTTATTTTGAAACTACTTCTTCTGAAACCTCCCACGTAACTCGCGAAATATGCAATCAATCTTAAGTGGCGTTTTCAATCACTTTTCTCATATCTCATCACGTAAATTAACCGATGGCACTTTTTCGGGTTTTTTTCGCCTGATATTTTTTGTTTGTTTTCCGTTTTCGATGGCAGTTGTTTTTTGCTTCCCCCAAAGTAAGTACAACAGTACGTATGAGCATTGTCTGCGTTGTTTGTTATAATTTCAGATAAGTTGAGATTGCCGATTGTCGGTTACATTGTTTTCTTGTTGCGGTTGTTATTATGCAAATTTTGGCTAACAACCGCTTACAAAAAAGCGACCATAGTTTGGGGTGGGGGGGGTTTGAATTTTAATTAACGTTGCGCATACGCCGCGTGGTACACCCTGCAACTGCCATCCGAGGTGTGTTCGATGCCGTTGGGCAAAAAGTATGCCAAGTAAATACTGTTTTCAAAACGAAATAATGAGCACACTTTTTTTGGGGTTTTCTGTTTGTTACTTGGCCATTTTTTTCCTTTTTTTCGAATGCTGCCTTTTTTGTGTGCTTAGATGCAGGCAAAGTCTAAACACTTTCACTAAAAATCCACCAAAGGCTACACGAATTTCGTGTCGTACATGACAAACTCTCAACGCGATTTGGTGGGGGGGGGGGGGAGGTGGTGTAGAGGGGGTGGGGGAGTGGGTGGTAGGACAGCTAAGTGGCTCAAACCGCCGATGGCTCATCCTCGAGTTTTGGGACAAGTACTGTGAAAATGGCTGTAAGACTAGGATAAATGTAGTTATATTTTAAATTTTTAGAACAGGTCATACAGACTTCTAAAATTTTAAGTTTTATATAATATATTGTATTCTATATAATATATATTTTTTATCAAATTAGTAGTTCAAGTATTTCAAAACATTTTAAACAAAACCAAAAACATTTAAATCAAGCCATCTTAATGTTTTCTACTCGGATTTGTATTTTTCTGAAACTAGAAACAAATAATCGCTAAAAAAATATTTCTTAGACCTTATTAACCGTTAATTCATCTTAGTTAGTATTTCTTTATGCTTTTTTGATAACTTAAGCCTTAATGAAGGATTATATTTATTTCTCAGAATGGAGAGAGATCAACCATGTTAAACAGACATATCCCGATAATATTAATTAATACTAAATATTCAGATATCAGGCTGCGTCATTAGAAGTAAGCCCCGCTGACACAGATCACTTATTGCCCAATTTCGCTAGCCCCAAAGTACTTAACCCCACAAAATGCCGACCAACTTGACACCCCCAATACCACATAATTCCGCCGCAGACCAGCGATATCCACTGTAAAATATCGACAACGATAACCGAAGAAATGGCTGTGGATGTTAAAGTTGAAGTGGAAAAAAGAGACTCTCCGGCGACATTGATTAACGAGTGCTTAGTTAAAGCGGCACTCAAACACGCGCGGCTAATGCCGCAGATGCCAGCAATAATAGTTGCAGATACACCAGCAACACCAGCACAGCGGCAACATCGAGCACAGCAGCAACACCAGCAACAGCAGCAACATCGGCAAACAAAAAGCAAACAAAAGTCAACAACAATCGCGCACAATGACGGGGAAATAAGCGACTACAAAAGTGCAATAATAATTCTCTCCGTTTTTATTCGTCTTCATATTTTTATGATGAATAATTGAATGGAATCTAGGAGTAAGTTTGAAGGAGGGCGCACTATTTATTGCCATTGCCATGCATCTGTGCAAATACTTTGAAATATGTTTATTAATTGCCAAGTGAACACCCTTCAACCCGCCGTTAATTTCAAGTTAGTCTGTTGCTCCGGCGGTACGTATATAATTATTATTAAATATATATATTCGTGGGGCATATGCGACTGGGCATTGACCTGCACTGCCCCAAAAGTACGGATATACAGCTGTTTTGAAGTTATTTGAATTAACTAACAAAGGTTCTTATAAACAGATACGAGTTTGGAAAACATTTAAAATAAATTTAACTTGCTTTGCATAGTTTTTGTGATTTATTGCTGTTGCATTTGTGGCCACTTAAGTCAACAATGGTCTTGAAGTTGTTTAACTTCTGCTGAAGTTGGCTTTAAATATTATTGCTTATTTTATGGCTGCTGCACATGTGGCTTCTATTTTGTTATTTTTGGCAGGAACTGTTGATATTGTCTCTGGGAAATTGTGTGCCCAAATGCTATGTGTTTGGTTCAAAATCATATTTGTTCAATTAAATTGTAATGGCTTCAGTGAGTTGTAAAATAATCTCACAATTTGTTTCCTCGTAAATGAGCTCTTGATAATGCTTTCCATTATTGAGCAATCAAATATTTTCACCCGCTGTTAACCTATTTATTTACATTTCAAAACAAAATACCACTTGCCGAACTTTGATCTTGTCACATTACTTAATTAAATCAAATGAATCGGTTATTTATTTTCGGTTCAGATTTTTCTATCAGCATTGCCCTTTTTCACTGCGGTTTAATCTCATATAAAAATAGAACTTGATGCGTTTATTTTTGGCAGTCGCTTTTTATTTGTTTTGTTCTTGTCAAGAGCAACTACAAATCACACTATTAGTGAGTCATGCTGGCCAACAAAAAATTACGCACAGAAATAGCTAAAACATTTTGTGGAATATAGGGGGTATATTCTGGCATGATTCATCTGGCCAACAGCTGGTATAAAATTGTAAAAGTGTTTCAGATTCGATTTGGTCGAGAGAACAGTCATTTCTTACCAAATAATTCACTTGTGCATTTTGGGAATTTTTTTCAAAATATTTTTAGTGCACTTAGCGAAATGTTCTTGAAATTGTTAACCTATTTTTTGGTGTTACTAATATTAGTATTAGTTTTTATATAATTTTTGAATAAGAAAAGTGATACTAGGGAGAAGCACCAATTAAATTCTCAACTATACAATACTCAAAAGAATCTGATTTTATACTTTTTTTCAAGCACCTTTTTGGCCCAACCATTTGCATAATTAATCAGGTGTCCTTTGTCTTAAATGTTTTAGAGTTTACCCACATTTTAGTAGCACAACTCCTGCGGCATGTTGATGGGGCAAGCCCAAATTGCTGTGTCGTCTGAGCAAATGTTGCTGCTGCTGCGGCGGGTTATCCAAAGCGGATTTAATCAGTTGAAAGGCCATTATTGAAACGAAAAACGCACTTGATTCCTGGCCTAAATTTCACAATAACATCACAATTTTCCCCGGCGATAGGTCTTACTTTTCAATCACATTACTCGAGTCTGAGGCTCCTTTTTTTGTGCTCCCCCAAAAACATCAGGCCCAAAATGAGGTGATCGTATTGTATTTCGGGGCGAAAGAGAACACAAAGCCCGCGTTTTTGGCACACACGAAAAAAAAAGCATGCGGCATCCACGACAAGATCGATTCTACTGAAACCGCATCCATGAATCCACCGCCGTGGCGAACGTGAATGGAACGTGGAGCCCGAAGCGCAGCGCAACCGAAGTGGGCAAAAAGCCGAAAAAGCGGTGGAAAAAAAAAAACAAAATCGAATTCAAACAAAACGAGACTGCAAACTGTGGGCTCTACGTAGCCCCTCTGTAGAGTCTGTAGACTCTGGAGCGGAGCTAAAAAGCGGACTCATGGATCGTATCGCTGGGGCCGAATTGAATGGAAATGGGAACGGGAATGGGGTTCGCTCGTCGTTCGATGATATGGTGATGTGATGCCCGCTCTGCATGCAAAGCCGCTGATAAAAATATATAGAAAAGCTGCGGAAAAAGGGGGGCGTTGCTTTCAGTCCAGGGGAGCGATAAGCTAAATGGTAAAAAATGGAAAAAATGGGAAAAAGCAATGGAAAATGTGTTTGGTCTTCAGATGGGCTCCATCTGTGGGCAGGCTTGGAAAGCTGTGAGGCGCCACCTAGCGACGTTTACAAGTCTATTATGCCGCCACCTATTGTCGTTTGTATGGGTTGTGGAAGAAATATGTGCAGTTCATTTTCATGAACTTTAATAAGAGCTTATTAATAATTTAAATATAATTAGGGAACATCAGTTAAAGAAAAAACAAAACAGTTCTCAATAATCTCTACCATTTCAAATATTTAAAGCTTTTAAATAAATAATGGGAAACGTTTTAAGATATTTAGTACATATTTAGAACACAGGGAAAGAAGTTCGGTTTATAGGATAGCTCCCCCTGTGGGCAGGATGTAAAATCTGAAACGCACCACCTACTGGAAGTTGGCTGAACTTTTGAGCTGGCCACCTATAGAGTTTTCGGAGTAACTGGTATTCCACGTATTCCCAACAGATGGAGCCACTGCTAGTGTTCCTTAATACTTCAAAAACATTATTTTCAAAAAGAATGGAAAATAGTACAGTTTTCTTTCTCTTTATCTTAAAAGTATCTAAAAGAAATTTCAAAAAAGGGGGAATAATGTCTTTATAAAGAGAGAGACAAACTGTTATACCCGTTGAATTAAAATGTGTTATACAAACATTTTAGCACAAATAGTATGGTAATGTTTGTATAACACATTTTAGATCAAAGGTTAAAACAAGCTAGCTTTCCTAACTAAAGGGATATTTAATAAACTTAAGGAACCATTTTCTCAGCTATTTTCCCATCCTTATAGCGAATAATATCGTAAGATTTTTATTCTGGTTTTGAAACAGAGTCACTCACCTGATAAACCTGTGTCGTTGATGCTGGACGTTGAGGTGGAGAAACCTGGTAGCTTTCGCCAGCCCTTGTGACTCCAGAAGCTCCTCGCCTTCGATTCCGTGGCGGTGTTCTGCACCGTTTGAACTCCATGGCCACTTGGCATCCGGTGATTGGGTCCCGGATCCTCGGCCGCCCGTATCCTGGCGCAGCTGAGGATCCTGCGGCCACAGGAGGCGCGGGTAAGGAAGCTGCTGCCACTGCCACTTTGGCCCCCTCCACCACCACCACCAGTCATCCCAGCCTCGTCGTATACAGTGGCCGCTCGCTGGAACGAACGACAGCTCTGGGTGCCCACTGTGGGCGTTTGCCGGGCGCACTTGATGTGCTGCGTTTTGCTCAGGCGCAGGCTGCCAATGTAGCTGGCCCCACTGCTGCCGCTGAAGCCGCTGTCCAGATCGCCGCAAGTGGAGGTCAGCAGCTGCTCCACGCCAGGAGCACCTTTGGTCCTCTTCACCCCGTCGCCCCCGCCGCCGCCGCCGCCGCTATCACAGATATTGTCCGCCGAGGCGGAGGTCAGACGGGCCAGAATCGTGGGCGGTTGTCCACTGGCTGCCGTCACACTCACACTCGGCTGCGGTGGAATGATCTCGGATCCCGATATCGATCCCGATGCTGATCCTCCAGATCCTCCAGATCCTGCCGCCCCTGGCGGCTGCTCCATGGACTTGGGCGGACTCTCCGGCATCAGCATGGCCTCCACACTCAAGTTGAGCTCCCCCAGTATCTTGTGATGCCGATTCTGCACTCGACGCAGCTCCTCCTCCACCAGCGTTTGGTTCAGCGAGCCAGCCGAATGGGAACCCACCGTGCCGCGCAGTTGATGGCCACTGCTGGTCTGCAGGGCAGCCGCATTGATCTCCTCGTAGAAGTTCTCGCTCTGACCCAGACCCGCCTTGGTGGTCATCTTGTGGTAGCGCGTCTGGTAGGACTGCAGGGTGGCCGGACTCACCAGCTGTTTGTTCTTCTTGCCCTTGGAGAGCAGGGCCCTTATGGAGTTGGGCGGTGGGTCGGCGGACGAGGAGGAGGAGGATGAGGCGGTGGCCGCCACTGACGAGCCTCCAGCTCCGCCGCCTCCGGCTGAGGAAACGGCTCCCGGCACATTGGAGTGCCTCATGGCGGCACCGGGCTCGTAGTAGGCATACGAGTAGTCATGATGCAGGTGAACTGAAAAATAAATAACAGGGGTTATTATGTTATTGTATCTTTCCCATTTTAAAATATTTAAATAACTTAATATTTTATATATCTAAATTAGGAAGAATTAGTTTTATTTTACTTTATAAAATATATATTTGTAATACTATTTTTTACCAGTGTGGTGGTGGTGCTGCTGCTGCTGGTGACCCAGGTTCCTGCCCAGAGTCTTACTGTGCCGCGCCGCCAGCTGCTTGAGATGATGTGGCGATGTCTCCAAGGTCGCAGACTCATTGCAGATCTCTATGGCATCCGGATCTGGATCGGGATATCGGGGCAACAGCTGTCGTCTTCCGGGAGTATTGCCCGGGGAACCACCACCGGTGGGTGGTGGATAATCCGGCGGTGGTGGGAACTGCAGGCAGTGCTTAGCCACGCCCCCGTGCACCGCCTCCAATTGGTGTTGTTGCTGTTGCTGCTGTTGCTGTTGCAACTTTTGCTGCTGTTGCTTCAGTCGCTGCAGTTGCGTCTGCTGCTGCGTGTAGTAATTCTGATTCGAGTGCTGTTGCTGTTGTTGCTTTAGTTTCGTGTGGACCAAAACCTTGCCGACCACGCCCCCGCCCCCGACCACGCCCCCCTGGCCCGTCGTGGGGGCGGCCGTCGAGTTGCTGCCATTGTTGCGTCTGCTGCCCAGGCCCAGGCTCTCCATGGCACATGGTGTGGCTGCTGCCCCAAAAGCTTCGATCTGCAAGGAGATTAAAAGCAGAAAATTAATTAGGAAAATTTAGAAGAACAAGAAGGGTAAACATAGAGCAAAGCCAATAATAACAAAGTAACAACCCTTCTCTGGCTACGTCATTCAATTGAGACGCGAATTCTTGAGGATCACCTTTTATTTTTCCAGTAAATGCATGAGGATTTTTTTTTCGTAAATTGGTCAACAAAATGCGACCATTGCTTTTATTGTTTCGCCCAAAATACTGAATATTTTTGGGTTGAAAAAAAGGATCTTATTATTTTGGCAAAAATTCAATATTTTTCATTGTCCTTTTTTGATGTAACTTGGCCAAAAATGGTATGAAATCGAAGAGGCATACTGTTTTGGAAAGCTAACAAGCCGGATAATAGATCGCAGTAATTTTCTGGCCTATTATAAAGACTTTACAATTTTCGAAATTTTCACTTTTTTTGTAAGGGGTAGCATCATAATTTTTTGCGAAAATTGGTCAAAATTAAAATTTTTAAGATGTAAATGCCAATTGATTGGAAATTTTATTACGAGTTCAACGAGGTATGACATTCCATTTTTGGACCATTACTTTTATTGTTTCGCCCAAAATACTGAATATTTTTGGTTTGAAAAAAAGTATCTTTTTTTTTGTCGAAAATTCGATATTTTTCATTGTCCTTTTTTGATGTAACTTGGCCAAAAATGGTATGAAATCGAAGAGGCATACTGTTTTGGAAAGCTAACAAGCCGGATAATAGATCACAGTAATTTTCTGGCCGATTGTAAAGACTTTAAAATTTTCGAAATTTTCACTTTTTTTGTAAGGGGTAGCATCATCATTTTTTGCGAAAATTGGTCAAAATTAAAATTTTTAAGGTGTAAATGACAATTGATTGGAAATTTTATTACGAGTTCAACGAGGTATGACATTCCATTTTTGGACCATTACTTTTATTGTTGCGCCCAAAATACTGAATATTTTTGGGTGGAAAAAAAAGATCTTATTTTTTTGGCGAAAATGCGATATTTTTCATTGTACTTTTTTAATGTAACTTGGCCAAAAATGGTATGAAATCTAAGAGGCGTACTGTTTTGGAAAGCTAACAAGCTGGATAATATTTCGCAGTAATTTTCTGGCCGATTATAAAGACTTTAAAATTTTCGAAATTTTCACTTTTTTTGTAAGGGGTAACATCACCTTTTTTTGCGAAAATTGGTCAAAAATAAAATTTTTTAGGTGTGAATGCGAATAGATTGGAAATTTTATTATGAGTTCAACAAGGTATGGCATTCCATTTTTGGACTATTACTTTTTTTGATTCGCCCAAAATACTGACTTTTTTTGGGTGGAAAAATAGGATCTTATTTTCTTCCCTTGCATTTTTCATCATTACAAATGTTAACGCTTGAGCCTAATTAAAAAGTGACATATTAATGAGCAGTTAAATGGAATTACAAATTGCAGCAGCTGTTCCTGGCCGTCGGGTGTCAATAAAAAAGAAAATAAATAAGTTCCTGGAACTTTGACCGCTGAACCGGCTCGGTAAATGTGGTATTTGGCATTCGCGCTTCAAGATGCGAGTGCAGAGAGCCATTCCCTGCCGCAATCCACATGTCGCCGTGATTAATTGCCGCTAATTCAGCAAAGTCTCTACTTTCGATGGCCAAAGGGTTGCAGACGTTTTTTTGTGGACTCTCTTCAAAGGCCTAGCCGAGCGGTAATTGAAAAACCAGGCTAAACGAGAAATGAGCCTGGCCACAAATGAGTCAGGTGGAGTCGAGAGCCTGATGATGGATCCGCAGCTGTCACAGGTGAGTATGCCACAAATAAATGGGCTAAGAGCCCCGATGCGGAGGTTAAATCAAAGCTCGAGTCGAGGGACTTTGCTTATGAAATCAAATCAATCATGGAGTGAGTACTTCGAAATACAAAGTATTTCAAGGAGTTATTTTTCACAAAGGCTATTTTGAAAATGCAAATATTTTAAGCTGATTAAAAAATATAATTTAAATTATTTCGCAGTGATCGGGTTCGAGGAATGCGAAGCCTTTGGCATTGCCAATAATTTCAGCTATTTAACTACGAAACCAGGCAGCTCTCCTCCCCATCGTATTCCCCTCCTGACAAATGATAATGTCAGTTGTTGGGCAAGATTATGATCAAGATAAAGGACAGAACTGCAGGGAATGCCAGGGAGTTGGAGGAGGAGGTCCCATAATGTGCAGGGGAACATAATAAAGTTGACGATGATAATGCCACCAAGTTATGAGTGGATATCCCAGGCCAAGGATTGTTCGTGGTAGCAGACAGAGATTCAATTGGTAATTTGAGTAGAGGTCCATCCCGGTTCTGGTTCTTGTTCTCGTTCTTCTTCTCCCGTCTCTCTCTTTCTCCCGGGATCTCCCCGTCTCTCTCTCTCTCTCTTTCTCTCTGTCTTTCGTCTCCTTCTCTCTGTGTAACCTGAGACAAGTCTGAGAACTGGACACGATCTCGTTGGCACAGCAGGTCCCCAAATTAGCGTCTAAATTTAGCTACTCAACAAATTGAATTGGGCCCAGCGAGGGGCATCCGAGGCTCTCTCTTTCTCCTTCTCTCCAGCACATCCCCCTCTCTTTCCCTTCAGCATATCCCTGTCTCTTTCTCTTGCATATTTTTTAATTCTTTTTTCAGAGCTCTTCCCTGGGTTTTAAAGCTCTGCGTGCACTTGAAGTCTCGCAAGGGTAAAGGTGGGTATTAGGGGGATTAAGGGCTTCCAACTTCACGGGGGAAAACATCAAAAAACCCTAACGCATGCCATTGTCAACAGTCAGATACAACAACAATAAAATGGGGGGCTTGGGGAGGGGTTTTAGCAGGGTTGGGTCAGTAGATATAATGCAAAAGTGGGAGTTTGCCAGGGAGTAAACCACTCGAAACGCAGGGCAAGGATTCCCCTGGAACCTCTTGAGCTCCCCTGAAGTCACCACCCACCTCGCTAGAAACAAGGAAAAACCCCTCTGATATTCTCCTACATATATAATATAAGTATATATCCTATGAGGGAGCCTTAAAGCTCCTGGCTACCCGGGTAAACTTTGTGTTTGCCGACGCTTCAACCCACTTACAAGGATTCATATATGCGTGGCTGTTATTTTTTATACGCTGTATGCTCTCTCGTTAGTTTGCTTGCTTTTGTTTTGTCTTTTCCTGTTTTCTCAACTGTTTCACAATTTTAACATGTACCCTGTAACCGAAGGTTAAAAAGGGTATATGGCACCCTTTTACAATAAAGATAAAGTATGTGATTCTTCCTTTTAAATATAAGATATAAATCTTTAACAATTTTTAAATTCCTTCATCATCTATTCATAAGACAAGCTTGCATTATTTACACTCATCCATTAATAGATTCTAAGGGGAAGGATATATTATATTATAACTACTTCGAATGTTCCTCATTACACCATCTTTACAATGGGTATCTGTACGTCTAGTCTTCGGCTTGCCCACCCCTGTTTACTTTAGCCTTGTTTTTTCATAATTTTCCTTCGACCCTCGAGCACATTTTCCATGCTTTCCCGAGGAAAGTGAAGCGAGTGGCAGTGATGCGAGCGAGGAAAAGCGAACAAAAGCCATCAAGCTGCGTCTTCCGCAGATGCGTTAAGGAAGTCTCGACTTCCTTTGCCAATATTGCCGTTGCTCAAGTGACTTTCGCTGATTGATTGGATGCTGACCCCGATGGAGCACTTAATTAGAAGCACACGCATACGCGTTAACCGAAAAAAGGAGTTGCTGCAGCTGCGGCAGTTTTTTAATGGGGGAAACGAAGGCCCCCAGAAGGCACTCGAAAAAATGATTTCTTCTTTCAGAATGTTTTTGTTGCAGGGAAATTTAATGGTATTGTCTCATTAAAAAAATGTTGGAAATTAATAAATTCACAGCAGTATTACCTTTAAAATATTTTTTATATACAAAACTAATTTAACTCGTAAAGTGAGAACCTTTTCTATATAATAATAATGTTTGTGTAGGAAACACTTTTATAACAAATTAAATATTTATAAAACACGATTATTTATATTAAAAACTGGACTGTTGATACAAGCAAATAATATTAAAAAATAGTAAAAATATTAGTACTTATAGTTTATGTTTAAACAGCATTTATTAAAATAGTAGTGGTAAAGTAGTAGTAGTATAAAAGGAGTAGTGAAATAGTAGTAGTGAAATAGTAGGAGTGAAAAAAGTAGTGAAATTTAGTAGTAGTAAAAGTAGGTAATAATAGTAAAAAGTACTAAAAATTTTAGAAAAATATACAAAACACTGTTTTGAATTGTTCGATTTCTTTGACAGTTTTTCGCGAGTGTACACCTCCCCTTGGGCGTCCTTCGAGTGGCTGCGTGGCGCGTGTTTTCTGCCACAAGGGGCCGGGCAACAACAGCAAACAGAACAGCACAGAACCGAACCGAACAAAAACGCATTGCAATAATTATATGCCAAGGCAGAGGCAACAACTGCAGCATTTGCAGCAACTGCAGCATCAACCCCAGCAGGCTGGCCCCTGCAAAAAGTGTTGCATGTTCTTCTATCATATTTGCAATTTATGTGTCGCCAATTCACTCAGACTCCTCCTCCAGCCACTGCCCCCCAGAGTCCTCCGGATTCTGCAGCGGATTCCCCCTCCGTTTATGGCATGTTGATGCCCGAGTGCGAACAAGTAATTAGAAAACATATTTCGAAATTGTTTCGCCATCCGTTTGTGCAACTTCGCGGCTCGCAGCTGTGCTGAATTCAAGGGGCAAGAGATTCCACGCAGACATCTCGTCTTAAAGTTTCCCGGGATTCCACGTAGAGCCTCCTATTTGATTTCTACGAAATTCACCTTTTGATCTTGCCATTGAGAATGTCAAAATTTATTCGGTTAAAAATTGGGAAAGAATTCTAAAGATCTTAAGTGAAATATTCAAAAAGCTAATTTTGATTTGATTGTTACTTTAGGAATTCAAAGATGGTTACAAAGCTTAAACTTTTAAAC